CAAGCTCACCCGCCCCGGCCTCCATAGCTGCAGTCAGGGGAGCTGAGGGGCCCTGCTCCCCCTGGGGAGAGGGTCAGCAGTCACCAGGCAGCCAACTGCCTCGTAGTCCATGTTCTCTGGTCACCTGTGGAGGGGCTGGGGAAGAGACAAGGGATGGGAATGAAATTAAACAGTGTTTATTTTCGTTTCCCGTTGCAGTACCTTGGGCCTCAGAAAACAGCTTGGAGGGCCACACAGCGGCCCACGGGCCGTATGTTGGACAAGGCTGATTTAAGGTAACTGCTATGAAATTAGCAGAAGTTATTTTAAGGGATGCAGCAAAGTTACCAGTTAGTATACAGGACCAAAACTTGGACCATGGACAGAGATGCATCTCAAAAACTCTGAATCCAGGATGACTAAAGAACAGGAATTCCTGCATGCCCCTGGAGGTTTCTGAAAACTGCCCGGTACATAGGATAGCACTCACTGGCCGTCTACCCATTTCCCCCACATGTGTATGAGTGTGTATACAAGTTGTTGGGGGCTTTAAAGGAAGTAAGCACTTTAAAACATGTTCATTTTTAGTGGGTCATTTTTAAAGTACTACTTGAAATCATTCACATTTGTACACTCACCACTTAAAGCACTTAAAGGCACTTGGAGTGCTTCTAACAGCACATGTCCAGGGCTTTAGGGCGCCTTTACTATCTCTGGCTCTACCACGGCTGTGCTACATAATGTCAGCAAGTAATTTCATTGCTCTGTTTCAATTTTCCATTTGTAAGTAACAATATTGACTTTTTTATAACATGCTCTAAGCCCTGCCCACAAAATTACACAACTACTATTGAGTTTAGTGATGGATAGTCTATAGGAGTATTAATACATCAGTGCATCACCCTCCTTGCCTGCTCCAATCTCAAAATATGCTCTTTAGCTATTCACCCCTTTTCACCAGGTTACAGCTCATATTGCAGAATACCATCTACTAGCTGTACTGCATTCCTTAAAGCAGGGATAGCAAAGATATGGCCTGTAAGCTGAATATGGCCCACCGAGCCATATCATCCAGCCCAGTGTTGCCTGCCACATGCAATGTGCACTGGTCCCAGCAGCACATGGAACCCATCTAAAGCAGACTTCACATGACAGAGCCGGTCTGGGATATGCATTGCATACAGCAACTATACCAGACCAGTCTGCCATGCTGGATCTGGGGCCTGTCCAGATTGGGCTCACATATCATATCACATCCACCACACAGGGCTGGTCTAGTGTGGGTGCTGCATTCAATACATGCCTCAAACCAACCCCATACACCGCATACTGCACCAGGCTGGAGGTGGCGTGCACTGCATGCAGCATGTGGGGCTGCTATGGAGCAGAGGCTGCATGTGGCACCTGGATGAGACTGGCCCTGCTCACTGAATCTAGGGCCAGTTCAGATCAGGTCCACAGACAAGCCTTGTACACCAGATCCAGCATGCAAGGCCACTCCAGTGTGGATGCTGCATGCAGCATATGCCCCAGACAGGTCCTGTGTGTGGGGCTGGGGCTAGGCCTGGTGCATGATGCACATGGCAGGTGTGGCTGGACCTGGCACATATGCTGCAAAGTGAAAACAGCTGGTCCAGGGCATGTGCTGCTCACAGCAGATGATCCCTGCATGGTAGATCCAGAATATGGGACTAGTCTCTGGCCTGATCCAGCTCACAGAGCAGACTTGAACCCCTCACCTGGCCCACAAGGCCAAATGAGCAGCACTCCTGCCTTGATGTGAATTCTGCATACTGCACTACAATTACCTTACATGATTATTTAAAGGTAAATTTTCTTTATTCCATTTCCTTTATAGTACAGAATGTAATTTCATAGATAAAAAGTATTAGTTAGAAAATATACTGGGTCACTAGGAAGTTCATGAATTTGCGTGGAGGGAAGGGGGACAGGAAGGAAAGAGCTTAGTTTTAATAAAAAAGCAAATTTAAGAAAAAAAAATTTGCTTCTAAGCAATTGTCTGGAGTATTCTGCTTATAAAAGCAAGCTAGATTACAATTCAACTACAGAGTGTGTGAATAAATCCAAGGCATTGGGAGTGAAGGGCAGAAACTATTCTACAGTATTTACATTCTTTTATTGTGTTCACCATGTTGTCCAAGGACTTAACTCTGACTTGATTTACTCCTTGATTTTATGCCCTTCTGGTAAAAAGAGAATATTATTTTATAGCTGAGCCAAATAAGTACTTAAAATTAAATGTTTTATTTTTAAGTACCTAAAAATAAATCCAGTCTTGGAGAGTCATGTAACACCTCAATTATATGGCTGACCAGAGAGATGAGGTTACCCTGAAGGAAAGTACAAGTAGAAAAGCTTTCCCAAAGAACCTTGCCTGCCTATTGAGTTAGGATCTTTCCAGGATAGGAAGAGTTCAGGAAATAAAAAAAACCATTCACTTAAAAGCAACTTGGAGCTCTGGGAATTAAGGAAAGGCACTGAATGTATTCAAGGAGCTGTCTATGCAAAGAAAAAAAGCTGATTATCTTGCATGGCAATATACAACTAAGCTCCAATTTATGTTGGTATCAGTATAGCCAGTACACAATATCCCAAGTAGAAGATCCTACTTACTTAGCATGAAGAAACCTACATATATAGGTGAATAAAATCTTCAACATTTGAGGCTCTACACTCTTTAGCATTATCTTGTGATCCAGACATTTAGTATGTAAATCCTTCTATGAGTTTTTCTAATGGTCACAGAAATAATAATGGGAGAGTGTAATTACCTATTATTTCAAAACTAATATTTTAAACAAGCAATACCATACACAAGTATGTTTAGGAGTTAGCAAAAAAAATCTTTAAACTACTGCAAAAATTTGAGTTGTTTTAATACAGTAAACTACTTAATTTGCCACTCCAAAGGGAATGCACATAATGGCAAATTATCCAATAGTGACCAATCATCAGGAGTTGAAGGTGAGGAATTGGAAAAACAGCGATTTAAACCACAGACAAAATTGATCACATTTTAATGCATGTATTTATCTTAGTTTTCAAACTTTGAGAAATTCTCAAGCTGTAATAAAAAAACCCAAAAATAATATAATCCTTTTGAAGTTTAGAGTGAAACGAGTGCACTTAAATAAAAATTATAAAGATTCTATATCACTTTAATTATGAAGTTATGACCGAGGCCCTACTAATAATTCTCCTTACTGTAGTTCCTTTGATGGGTTACTACATTAACATAATAAGAGCCAATGCAATGGCTGGAATTTCCCTTTCTGAGAAACTAAAGGAAGACCTGAGAACAGTAACTGAATTAATATATAACCGGCAATGTAGTACAATGAAGTTATCTGTTGCCCTACAAACATTTCATGCAATAGCATCCATGGTCTGAGAGGGAACTTTTGAAGTGTATGGAGTTCAAGTATTAGGCCTGGTCTCTACACATATTTTAGATCTGCATAAAATTACTTCAGTTAGGGGGGGAAAAAAAAAAACCAAAACCCTTTCTTTTCTTTTTTACTGAAATAGTACCCCAATATCCCTAGCATGGATGCAATTATACCAGTATGTCTGGCTGCTGTAACTGTATCCATATTAAGAGCGTTTATTTTCATTATACCAACATAGTTAAAATGATACAACTTGTATAGTCAGACAACCCTGGAGCTCTTTGCATTCCAAGACGGGTCCAAGAACAAGTTACTAAAGGTAAGCCAGAGTGCAAACGTGCTCAGTCAGTTCTTTCCTAATAGCCTGCAAACACTCTCTTACTCCATGGTAACTGTGAGGTAGTTTGCCTCTCAGTGAAAATGGGATAAGCTTATCCTCATTTTTAGCGTAGGGCAGGGGTTGTCAATCAGGGGTACGCGAGAGTGAGCAGGGATGGAACGCCACCACAAACCATCCTGCACTGCCGCGCAGGTACTGCCCACCCAGACATGAAGGAAGCTTGCACACAGTGGCTGCCACCGTTCCACATTCGGCCACTCTCCCTGTGTCCAGCCGCCGGGGGTATACTGATCCAAAAAGGTTGAAAACCCCTGGTGTAGAGGACTGTAGGATAAGAGCATACATGCCGATAATTTTATTGATGCACTAGAATTGTGTGCTCCTTGTAGTAATTTATAACTGAGGGCATGGATGCATGAATACAACCACTTCTTGTTCAATACACCTCCAAACTCTTAGCTCTCTTAAGATACTTGCAAACAGGCTTTTAGTCCGAGATCCAAAATATACCAGTCTGAAAAGATCATTGATTTATAGCAACAATTCTGATTACCAAGACAGATTTGATAACCATTGGCACCTATTTACACCATTGGCACCTATTTACACACTGATGCTGCCTTTACCCATGAGAACAGTTATTAACAAACTATTGGACTGGTTAAATAAACAACCCCTCTCATAAAAGAAGATTAGGTTGAATTGAATTTTTTGCCAGTACTTTGCACGTTACGCAACAACCGATTCTCCACATCAGAAGTTGGCAACCTGTGGCCCAAAGGGCAGAACTGGCCCACAGCAGCACTGGGGATCAGCAGCATGCAGCTCACTTCAGCGCGTCACCTGTTTCCACCCAACAACATGCTGCTGATCCTCCCACCACCCCATCACCTCCTATGGTGCATGCTGCTGCTCATCATCACTGCCAAATGTTCCTCCTAACTGCCACTGGGAACAGGGATTGGAGGCACATAGCAGAGGCAAATGATGGAGACAGCAGGAGACAATCTGGGCACCATGGAGGGGAGTGCTGCAGAAGGGAGCAGCATTTCCCTTCACTTCCATGGAAGTGAAGGGAAACAGCAGCCTGTGGCAAAGGCTGAGTCACAAGTGGCAGCCCACTGCTTTAAAAGTTTGACTCCTTCTCTACATGGTGAATTTAAACTAAGCTACAGCTAGATAGATTTGCAACCAATAATAGAAAAAAATCCTTACCACTTGTTGTGCAATGTTGACATTAGACTGTCCAAATGTTTTTGGCAGGAGCTGTTTCCCAAGCGTATTTACTGTAGAAGGATGAACAGCCACTAATGAAACAACCCCTAAAGCAAATAAAAACAGAAAGTTACAAGTCCATCTTATTTCTTTCTTTCAATAAATCAAGCTTCATATAATAAAAAGAACCACAGCACATAACTTTGAGAAAACCAGTTTTGAAAGAGCCATCACCCCAAAAATAAATAATGTAAGCACCAAAAACAATTTTTGTGGGTGCATATGAAAACTCCCTTCATGAGTCTAAACCACTTGTTCTCAACCTTTTGCAGACTCAAGGCATGCCTTGGAAAATGCCAGCTCTTTGTTTCTCCTAATTTTCTGACTGCAGAAAAATAGTACAGCAATTTTTCTGTTGCAAAAAAAAAAAAAAAAAAAAAAAAAAAAAAAAAAAAAAAA